GTCCCCACTTGCCCAAGTCCCCACTCGAATGAATCTGCACTCAGCCCTGAGTCCCCACTCACCTCCGAGTCCTCAAACACCTGAGTCCCCACTGAATCATGCAGGTATACTCCCTACTGAGGCCCCACTCTCCCGAGGCCCCACTGTCCTGAGCCCCCCTCTCCTGTGTCCCCACTTGCTTAAGTTCACACTTGCATGAGTTCCCACTAGCTAGTTCCCCGAGTCCCCACGGCAGAGTCGCCACTGAGTTCCCCACTCGATCCCAGTCACTTCACCCACAGACGACACAGGCAGGCCAAGCATGATTCTTTTGTGAGTTGATCATAGAAAGACAAATTTGATTTTGTTTCTTGTGTCTAGAGCCCACACCTTAGGAGAGAGCACAAAGGCGTGACAAAGGATTCGATCCTGGAACAGGTACCAACTATAATCACAGCGCTCAAGGTACCCCATGCACCACAAGCCCAATTTGTCTTTCTGTGGCAAGGGGGCAAGCATTAGAGACCCCATCCTGTTTTCTCACAAGTGTATTTCTTATTTGTTTCGTCTGTTTGTTTGGAGGGGTTCACACCTGGCTCTGTTCAGGGCTTACTCCAGGTTCTGTGCTCAGGGATCAGTCCTGGAGGTGGCTCAGGTGACCATATGGAGTTCTAGAAATCAAATGAGGGTTGACCACATGCAAGGCTCTCTAGCTATATATATGGTTAGGGGTTACTTCTGGCTCTGCACTCAGGGATAACTCCTGGCAAGCTCAGGGAACAAGGTGGGATGCCAGGGATTGAACCCAGGTTGGCTGCATGCAAGGCAAGCACCCTATCTGCTGTACTATCACTCTGGCCCCACAAATATATTTCTTGTCATCTCTTTCCCTCTGGGTCTTTTCCCAGCCACTCGGCCCTACAGTTCTCCTGCTCTGTTTGAGGTTGAATCCGATTCAGTTAGGGATAGGGTTCTTCCCCTGGACAAGAATATCAACAGCAGGCTGTCTGGAAGGGCTCGGGAAGGTTCTCTGGAGCTGGAGCATTGCTTAACCTTGTCTGGAGGACCCATCCTCATCCTCCTGGGATCTGTGAACCACTGACATCAGCCCAAAGAGCTCCCCACTCTAACCATCACCATCAACTTCTGACTTTAACAACCAGCGCTATGGAAACCTCTGGCCTAACCTAAGACAAGGTGGTGTTTTGTTTTGTTCTTGAGGATGGTAGACACACCAACTTCTCAGCACCTGAATGAACCTATCTTTTTTTTCTCACATCAACCCTTGTCTCTTAAGTAGCTGGCCTCTGAGAGGCAAGAACCGGAATCTGGATTCAGTAACAGAACTTGGTGAAGCTTCTCAGGATGGCCTGGCCTTCTCCCTGGTTCCCACAGATAAAAGCAGCTGCCTACAGGCAGCCCACCTGGACTTCCTGGATTCAGTTTTCTGGGAAGAAACCTCGTCAATTGACTTATGTGTGGTGCCAGCTGCACAGTGAGCTGACCCAACGTGGGGAGTGTTCGACCCCCAGCAGCTGCTGAGATCCTATTTCATTCATCTCTGGACCTTTCATCAGGACATTTCATTCATCTCTTGCTCCTACGACACCAGCTGCCCTAGGCTGTTTAAGGAGAAGAAAGGTTTGAAAGGAACCAAATGACTCCAAAAACTAACATAGTCCTCAGTTGCACAACCAGAAGTCCCCTGTTTTCACTGTTCTGGGCTCTTGGCCATCTGGAACCCTTGATTCATTTGCAGACCTACAAATGAATTAACAAGACTTGGTCACCTCTTTTCCTTTTCTCCAAAGTATGTATCTGAAGGAACATCATGGTGTTTTGCTCTGTTCGTGCCTATGTTTGAAATTCGGTTCTATTCAACTTTGACTTTATGTTTGGAATTGGGTTTTGTTCTTTATTTTGTTTCTCAAGGGGGGGGAGGGTTGGCTTCAATACCTTCTAGAAGCACCCCCTGGGGTAGGTTCTAGCAGGCTGAACCAGTTTCGGGGATGTGTCCTGAGTAAAAAGGCAATTCTTTTCTATGGTAACGCTGGCCTGGATCTGTGCTAGAATTTGGAGACATGGCCCCTAAACGGGTCTCTCAGTGGCTCTACTCTGCAGCCATTTAAATTGTTTTGGCAAAGATCTGGTAAATAAGTGAAATATCCGATGTCCAGGCTTGTATGTTCACTGCAGAACAAGAACTCCTCTCAGAAGGGGACCCTGTAATGATGATGGGGGGAGAGTGAAGCCCGGGAAGAAACGGATGCGAAGGACAGAAACCTTATGGCTGTCTTCTTTCCACTTTCCTGCATCCACCATCTGCCTTTATCAGCTGTTCTGCAAGCACCAGGGCTGTGTCCACCGGCCCTGCCTGTTCTGTGCCAGCAACAACGTCCCAGCCGCTGAGCAATGTGTTGACCGGCTCCCTCCTAGGTACAAGGGAGCTGGGATCGCTCTCCCTACATTGCTTACCGCTTTGAAATTAGGAAATGGAATCTTAAAATATCTCTTGAGTACCAGAAGAATAAAACATGCACTTATTTTAAGTAAGCAAGGAGCTGGAAACATTTTGTTAGCAGAGTTCTTGTCTGGGGGTAAAATTGGTTCTTTCTAAAATGGAGAGAGAGAGAGAGAGAGAGAGAGAGAGAGAGAGAGAGAGAGAGAGAGAGAGAGAGAGAGAAAGATAGGTCTGAATGTTGAACCATTAAAGCAACAGCTGACCGTCCCCTCCCACCTCGGAAGCCTTCGCCCCTCGGCCCTCAAGTGTATGTTTCCAAAGACTGTTTCAAAGACGCAAGCTAGAAGTGAACCTCGACTTTGTTTGGACTAGCGTCGCTGACTGAATATAGCAAAAACTCTTCAAGTTTGGCGAAGAGAATATTCTTACTCTTTCTCTTGCAGCCGAACGAAATAAAGTCTAACTCTGGCAACGTGGAGGATGCGAAACCCAGCTCTGGAGTGGGGAAGGGGGTGAGAACCGTCATCGACTTAGAACACAGGCTGCTAGACAATCTGGCTTACTTTTCGTGCTCATTGGGAATGAGGAGTGGGCGAAAACGAAGGGAAATGTACGTGCATAAAAATAGAAAAAGAAGTGCGTGGTTTCTGTGGGGAGGGGGGCGTGGAGCTGAGGCTGGAATTAGATTTGGAATGGGGTGGGAGTGGGATGGGGGGCTCGGGGTAGGGGGGCCTGCATTGGGCGAGTAGTGGCCTTCTCCGTCCAGGTGTGAAGCTGGAGCTGGGGTTGCAGCTCGGGCCGGAGCTGGGGGTTCGGCTAAGACCCCCGCAGGCCAACTGCAGACCACCACCGCAGACCAGCTCGGCGCGGGTCTGGGAATGTGCCTGGGCCCTGAGCGCAGCTGACAGCTGCCCCGCCCTGCCCAGGAATGCCTCTGCCCAACGGAAGGGACAGGCCACGTCAGCCAATCGGCTGCAGCCCTGCCTGGGAAACACCTGTCGGCCGGCCGCGCCTTCCCTCCCCCGCCCCCGCCGGCTCACCTGGGTGCAGGTTCGGCAGGTGAAGCGCCTCCCCCCGGAAGCGGAGCTGGAGCGCCCCACCTGCCCGCCCGGCCCGCTCGGGCCGGATCCAGCTCCTCCAGGCTCCTTGTAAGTGCTCCGCCGTCGCCCTCCCTGCTCCAGCGGCGCCCCCTCCTCGGCGCCTCTCCCCGGCCCGGCCCCCAGTCCAGCACACCTGTGCGGGCACCTTCCCGCAGTGAGGTCACAGCCCTAAGGAACGCCGGGACCCGCTGCAGGGCCCCGCCCCTGGCCCCCGCCTCCCCGGGGGTCTGGGGCCCCGCTTGGCCGGCTCGGCTCCCTGGAGGGGGTGCGGGGCCTCCTCGGGCCTGGGGCCCACCTGCGCCCCCCGCCTCCTCCGCCGCTGAGTCCCAGGCACAAAGCCAGATGCCGCCTCCCGGTGCGGGCCTGGCAAATCCCCCTGCAAGGCTCTGCCGCTGGAGCCCAGTGACTCCCCCGCCCCGCCCCGCCCCGCCCCGCCCCCCAGAGACAGGTTCCTGCCCGCCCTCCTCAGACTGGGGGTGCATTCGCAGGTGTCCTCTGACCCTCCCTCAAACACCTCTCTGACTAACCCCACGAACCCACACCCAGAGTCCTTTCCAGGAAGGGAGCTTGGGGTTCCTGCAGGGCACGTCCATGAGTAACCACCAGGAGGGTCCTCACCCCCGCGCCCCTCCCTTTCCCCAGGGGGCTTGGCAAGGAAATGGGCCACTGACAGAGGCCAGGGGGTGGCTGAGGCCAGGGAGGAGATGGGGGCGGGGAGGTGACAGTCAGGGTGGCTCCCCCAGGATGTGGAAGTGAGGCACAGGAGGAGCAGGTTTGGAGTACGGTGACAGGCTGGGCTGGGGGCCTGTTGCATCAGCGGTGACTGTGGGACAGCCCAGGGACAATTGTTTACGGAGGAGGGAGACCCAGCTTGGGGGAGGGCTGCAGAGGCCACTGTCTGGGCGGGCAGAGGGGCTGGCACCGGAGGGTGGAGGGTGTTAGGGGTCTGCTAACCCCACAGAGGAGAGGCCACCCACCCCCAGAGTGAGGGCCGGGGAGCAGGCTGCCGGGGCCAGAAGAGTTAAGCCAGAGCCCCCCTCCCCCGCCCGCTGCCCTAGGAGCCAGCGGTGACAGCTGACAGCTGAGGCCCTGTCAGTGGCTCCTGAATGAGGCTTTATCTCTGCCTCCCCGACCAGTCCCTTCGTCCACCCTGGCCCAGCACCGCCGGACAGCCAGGATGGGACCAGCAACCGAGAGAGCCAGAGAGGTCAGTGGTTGGGCGAGGGGGTCCCCGGAAGCAGGGGGGACTCTTTCCCAGGGGTGGTAGGGGAAGAGGCTTCCCCGGGGAGCGTTCCTGGGGTCCCCGCGAAGACCCTGGGAGGTGTGTGCGGGCCAGGAGGTAACGCGTGGTTCTGCCCCTACAGATGATGGTCTCTGTACCCCGGACTGTGCGAGGAGCGGGACTGGGGGCTGGTGCCTGCCGAGCAGGCGTGGGGGGACTCCAGGCCCTGACCCCCACCCTCTAAGGCCTCGCCCCGGTCGCCACCAGCTGCTGCCATGCCTGCGGGAGAGCCTCGAGGCTCCCCGGGCCTGGCACTGCCCCCCGAAGTGCTGGCCGAGCAGGTGGAGCTCTGGTGGTCCCTGCAGCCCCGGCGCTCGGCGCTCTGCTTCGCCATGGCCGTGGCCCTGGTGGCGGGCTGTGGGGCGGGCGGCGTGGCCCTGCTCTCCTCCACCAGCAGCCGCTCCGGAGAGTGGCGGCTGGCGGTGGGCACGGTGCTCTGCCTGCTGGCCCTGCTGGTCCTGGTGAAGCAGCTGATGAGCTCGGCCGTGCAGGACATGAACTGCCTCCGCCAGCCCCACCACGTGGCCCTGCTGCGCAGTGGCGGGGGCGCCGACGCCCTCGTGGTGCTGCTCAGTGGCCTGGTGCTGCTGGTCACCGGCCTGACCCTGGCCGGGCTGGCCGCTGCCCCCGCCCCTGCCCGGCCGCTGACGGCCATGCTGTCCGTGGGCATTGCCCTGACGGCCTCCGGCTCACTCTTACTGCTGGGCTTGCTGCTGTACCAGTTGGGCATGAGTGGACACTGCCCCCACATCTGCACCACCACCCCCTCCACCCTCAGCGACCGCAGCGGCAATGGCAGCGTCTTCAGTGTCTCAGGACAGTTGTCTTCGGGCCGGCGTCAGGAGACCACCTCCAGCATCGCCAGCCTCATCTGACCGAGCCACACTGCCCGCCTCGGCACCCGAATTGTGCCAGGGCATGAGCGTACGTGTGGAGTGTGTGTCTGCGTGCACGAGTGTTGGGCCATGAGTGAGTGGGTGTGCGTGTGTGTGTGTGAGAGCACATGTGTGTGCATGTGTTGTGAGTGCATGTGAGTGTGTAAGTGTATGAGTGCGTGTGAGTGTTCATAAGTGTGTATGTGCGCGTGTGTGAGTGTGTGTATGTGCATGAACGTGTAAGTAAGTGCATGCGTGTGTGCTCATGAGTGTGAGTATTTTAGTGTGTCTGAGTATGTGTGCATTAGTGTGTGTATGCAGGAGTGTGTGAGTCTGACTGCATAAGTGTGAGTGCATGTGTATGTTCGTGAGTGTGTGCATACGTGTGTGTGCACGTGAGTATGTGAGTGCATGTCTATGAGTGAGTAAATGGGTGCATTCATGAATGAGTGTGTGAGTACATGTATGTGCATGAGTATATGTGAGTGCACGTGCATGCGTGTGTGTGTGCATGAGTATCTGTGTGTGTGTGTGTGAATGAGGAGTGTGAGTCCTGGGGAGTGTGTGCATGTCCCCAGACTGCCCGCCCCTCCTGTAGACTGTAACGTGTTTGTACCCAACCACCCCTCATGGGAGAGTGAAGGCATCTCTTCAGAACCGGATGTCTGCGGCCATGCAACTGCTGGAAAATGCCTGGCAGTATCTGGGGCCTCCGGGCGGAGCAGTTTTGGGGATCCCTGAAGATGACGGCCCATACCCCCAGCAGCCCCTCAAAGCCAGCCCTGCCGGTACCACCATCGGGGACTTTACAGAAGCAATGGCTGCTACAGAGACTGCACCCATGGGAGCCTGCCCCAAGGAGAGAGGAAACATTGGAGTGAAGCGCCCCATTGCCACGGGAGGGGTGGGGGGAGAGGGGCTTGGACCAGCAACTCGTCTCCTCAGCCTGTTTCTTGAGGGTGCTGCTGATGGCTGTGGGGAGCAGTTGAAACGAGGGACATGCATAGAAGTTGGGCCTGTGAACAAAAATGGTGGCTGCCGTCTCGTCACTGCCTTCACCTCGTCCTTTTCCCCAGAGACCCTTCTCCCCTCCCCGCACCCCTTCTCACACTCCCACTTGGTGCCCACTCAGGCTGACCCCAGCCTCAGCCCTGTGGCATCTTTACTCTGTGCTAAGAAGCTGGCACCGAGCAGGGGAGAGGGTGTGCCAGCTCCCGGAGGTGGTGGGTGGCGGGTCCCAGGGTGCAGCTGGGAGCTTGAGGATTTCCACTTGTGTGGGTGCTGCTTCCTGGGGAGACCTTCCCCAGCAGAGCAGATCAGCCACCTCCTCTGGGGGCTGCGGCGCCCAACTGCGCCTCCAAAGCCCAAACATCCTGGTCTGTGGAGTCTTTCCACCCACTGGCCTGCCTCTGGGAGGGGTGTTTGAAACCCCCGTGGGCGTAAGAGTCACTTCCTGTTCCAGGCTGCCCCAGGGTGCAGGGGTACTTCCTGGGAGGCAGCGGGGAAAGTTCCTCTGGAAGAGGCACCTCCCAAGAGGTGTTGGACTCGGGCTCAGGGGCTCACCTGCTGACCCCCCGCCTCCTGCAGGATCACTGAGTGGTGGCAGGGGGAAGGGAGTGGCAGCCGAGGGCAGGAGGGCCGTGGGCAGAGAGAAACGGGCTTATCTAGGAGCACCAGGTATTTCGCGGACATCTCAGGCCCAACGTGTTCGGAATGACACCCCAACTTTGTCCCTCCTCCCACTGGTTGTTCCGCCTCTTTGTTCCTGTGGCATCCGGATCAGCACCTCCGTGCGGTTCCACACGGCCCTCCAGGCTACCTCCTCACCCCGCGTCCAATAAACACATTGACTTCCAGGGCTCCTCTCCTCTGCCTGGGTGTTACAGGACTCGCCACCTCCAGCGTCCCCTTCATCTTGTGTGAACTGCGCAATGGCTGGCTCCCTTCGCTCTCCTCCCCACCCCCACATCCCCGCCCCACCCCCGCCCCCACCCCCACCTCCAAAAACAATGCTTGAGCCTTGAACCAGAAGTGGACCTGGAACCCCACAGAGTGTGGCACCAACATCATTTAAAAAAAAAAATCTTTCTGTAGGGGCTGGAGCAATAGCACAGCAGGTAGGGTGTTTGCCTTGCACGCGGCTGACCCGGGTTCGATTCCCAGCATCCCATATGGTCCCCTAAGCACCGCCAGGGGTAATTCCTGAGTGCAGAGCCAGGAGGAACCTCTGTGCATCACCAGGTGTGGTTTAAGGCTGGAGCGATAGCACAGCGGGTAGGGCGTCTGCCTTGCACACAGCCAACATGGCCGACCCGAGTTCGATTCCTCCGCCCCTCTCGGAGAGCCCGGTAAGCTACCGAGAGTATTTGATATGCCAGACACAGTAACAACAAAGTCTCCAATGGAGACGTTACTGGGCCCGCTCGAGCAAATCGATGATCAATGGGAGGGCCTTTACTTTTTATTTTTTTAATAAATAAATAAATAAATAAATAAATAAAATCTTTTTTGTAGTCCCTCCTGCAGACTAAAACCCAGATTCCTAACATGACTTGTTCCCACCCCCACCCCCTCAGTGCACCCAATACTGGCCCTGTGGAAGGACCATGACCTCTCCCAGGCTCCTTTTGCCTCCTTCTCATCTTTCAAGAGCCAGGCCTGTAGGGAGCCACGTTCTCTGGAAATCTCCTTCACTCTGCCCTGCAGCCCAAGAGTTGATCCTTGGCCAGGCCCAGGGCCCCCAGAGTAGAGCCCCTGTGTGTATCCCGGGCCCCCAGCACAGACACTGACACAAAGGAGGGGCTTGGCTTGGTGGGGTAACTGATTGTTGGCGGAGGGGATTCAGGAAGAGATTCGCCTAGATTTGGAAGGGGAGAACGCAAGGTCACAGCTCACTGCTGGCCCTGAATCTTGCCCTACTGAGGCCCTGTGCTGTCTGCTTCAGGAATCCTCCCTCTCCCTGTGCTCTCCAGAGGGAGTAGCAGTATCCCAGCTCTAGACCAGCCCTGTGGCCAGCACACCTCTCCTCCCCGAGGCGGGGGGGGGGGGGATCCTGTGTGCTTTCTGCTTAGATGGGGCTCAATGCTCCCACGTTTCTCCTAAAAAGAGAAACGGAGGTTCACGCTGGTCGGAATAGGCTGTGGATGCTGTGGGCTGTGTGGCTGGGATTGGCTTTACAGGGAAAGGAGGGAGAAAAAATGGCTGGGTGACCTAGGAGATGAGTCACTTCAGCGGCCCCCTGGGCTGAGATGTCACTGGGTCAGCCACAGACTAAGAAGAATATTCTGGGAGCTGGAGCAATAGCATAGCAGGTAGGGCGTTTGCCTTGCATGCACCCGAGTCCCAGCATCCCATATGATCCCCTGAGCACCACCAGGGTAATTCCTGAGTGCAGGGCAAAGAGTAACCCCTGTGTATTGCCGCGTGTGACTCAAAAAGCAAAAAAAAGAGAATATTCTGGAAGGAACAGCACAAAGAGATGGGGGAGCCTGGCTTCCACGAGAAACCACACAGAGTTTGTGCAAATTCTCTAAGGCAGGTGGAACGTGTGCACTTAGGAAGGAACCCTCTAACTCCAGGGCTTCGGACCCCCCTTAACAGGGGGGTTTGGCTTCTGGGGTGGGGGTGCGAACCCAGTTGATGCTCAGGGTCCATGCTGTGCCAGGAGTCAGTGCCAGGATGGAACCCAGAGCCTCTGCATGCCAAGCACATGCTCCAGCCCTTTGAGCAGTCTCCCCAGTTTGGGCATGACCTCGTAGGGCCAACAGGAAGCCCGTGAAAGATTGTAAACCTAGACAGCAGGGCAGACATCATGCTGCCTGCAGCATAGTTCGTTGGAGGAACGGCAATGAGGAGAGAATGTGCTGACCGCTGTTTGCATTCCCAGACACGAGACGGGGATCAGACTGGGAGGCGGGTACTGTGACAGTCTGAAACTGAACAGATGGAAAGGATGTTCAGAAGATGGGACCCAAAGGTCTTTTACGGGACAGCTCGGGAAGAGGCGAGAGATGTTACTGTTTAATGTTGATGGAGAAGGAATGGTGGGACTGAGCGTTCCTCCTGGCTCTGTGCTCTGGGGTTCTCCCCGCCAGCACTGTTCTGGGAACCACGCAGTGCCAGGTATTGAATCTGATGCATCTTTATGCAAAGCATGCGCTCAGCCTTTGAGCTCTTTCTCCAGCCCATGAAAGAGAAATTTAAAGCAGGGATGTGGCTCCATGGTAGAGCACATGCTTCATAGGTGGGAGACCCTAAGTTCAATCCCCCTCACACCAGGCACACACGCGTGCCTGCACGCACACACACGGAGTCCTGGCTATCAGATGGAAAATACAGCCATTTTTAAAACTCCCTGAGCAGGGAGGAAGGGAGTGGAGATCCAGGCACAAGACAGCTTGAGCTTCTGAGGTACAGCAGGGAGGTGCTTGCCTTACACACAGCTAACCCTGGGCATTACCAGGTGTGCCCCCAAACAACACAAAGCATAAAAAGATAGATTGGGCTTCCAAACCCATTTTTATGGGCAAGAAGGGAGCGTGGACACAGGTACACACCTGGGTTTTGTCATAAAAAAAAAAAACTTAAGGGGGGGACACCCAAAACGATTCCATCTTTGAGACAAGACTTTTAAAAATCTGCCTCAGAGAATGAGAGAGGGGTGTGGTAGATAGTCAGAAGGCTCGAGTCCAGTGAACCACACAGACTAGCCGTTAGGAGAGGCCAGGCCTTGTCATTCTCAGTACACACAGAGGCCAAGAGGAAGGTCTCAGAAGGAGTGTCACCTAGAGTGGGCAAAGCTGAGACGATGGGGTAGAACATAAGGGCAGGAGAGTGGCTGGCATCATGGGCCCTGAACATGTGTATTGGGTGAAGGGAAAAGGCCAGAAGTTTCCAGTGGTGTTAGTGCCTGAAGGCAGACTCTGTCAGCAGGGAAAGTAGAGAGAGAGAGAGAGAGACAGAGAGACAGAGAGAGAGACAGAGACAGAGAGACAGAGACAGAGACAGAGAGAGAAAGGGAGAGAGGGGGAGAGAGAGAGAGAGAGAGAGAGAGAGAGAGAGAGAGAGAGAGAGAGAGAGAGAGAGAGAGTGGCCATGTGTGCCTCCTAGACTCAAGTCAGGCTCTAGGTTTTCCGCTATGCCTCCTCCCTGGATCCTGCAGGAATGCGTTCCGGAAATTTCCAAATCTGTTCCAGTACAGGCCATCATTCCAGAAACCGCCACATCCCACATGAGACCTCAAGCCTTCTGGGACACTCAAGTTTCCCTCAAGTTGCTTCTCCAGGCCTCAGGAGACCGAGATGTGTGGGATCACGCTCCATTCAGATGTTCCCGACTCTTGCGCCTCCAGGGGGCTGAGCCCTGGAAGTCAACCCCGGGCCTGGGGATGCCAGACCAGGGACAGCGCATGCCACTCTGCCCTCCCAGCCATGCCCCCAAACCAGGGGTGGTCCCCAAAACTGTTGGCTCCCCACTCAGGAGGGGACATGCCGAACCTGGCAGGATGGGAGCGAGTCCAGAAACAAGTGCTTTCTCCTCAGGGTCACTGGAGTCCTCATCTGGAGGTGAGGTGGGGAGATGGAACTGCGGACACAGTCCCTTGCCGGAGCCTCAACTTTTCAGCCCGTGAATGGGGGTGCGTGTCCTGCTAGCAGGGCTGTTGTCAGCAGGCAGCGGGACAGCAGTGATGCCTTATCGTGTACTATCGTGCACCGAAGAATCTAACTCAAGACCTTTCCTCTCCGGGCCAGACAATCCCACCAGAGTCCTGCGGAGAAACAGAGATGGTGATTGGGAGGGAAGGGGCCTGGCAAGGCCCTCAGTCAGGGCTGAGACCTACCCCTGTTTGGAGCGTTGCTCTGTGGATGCCGAGGGAAGAGCACTAAGCCTTGCAGACGTGGTCTCTTCCTCTTTCTATGTGTCTCATTTGATTCTGCCAACACCTATACAAGGCAAGTACTATTAGGATCTCCATTGTTATTCGTCGATTGCCTTGAGCAGGCCCCAGTAACGTCTCCTTCATCCTAGCCCTGAGATTATATTCAAGGCTCTTTAGGAGAATGAGACCCATCATTGTTACTGGTATTTGGCATATTGGGTACGCCACGTGGAGTTTGCCAGACTCTGCTGTGTGGGCAGGTTACATTCAGTAGCCTGCCAGTTTGTCCAAAGTAGGAATTAGATAATAAGATGTCATAATAAGATGTCACGCAGCCGCAAATGCAGCCACACGGTTCCGGGAGCTGGGTTTTATAGTCTCTGAGTCTTGGCCATTGATGGGATTACACGGCGCCAGGGGGCCAGTTGGTGGGTGTGACCCCCACCTACTGGAATTCGGAGGATCTGGGTGGAGGATGCTCAGCCCCGATCCGAGTAGGCTTGGAGATCTCAGCCCCGGGACCCGCTTGCCTTTGTTCCTCTGCCGGTACCTTCATGTGTGCGGAGAGTGGTCTCAGCATGGTGGTGGCTGGTTCTGGAGGTCTTTGGCTGCCGGAGCCCTGGTCGGGGTGGGGAGGAAAGCTCAACCCGCTCCCCTTCAAGGGGCCCTGGCGAGGACAGCCAGGCGTGGGGGCAGGAGACTGCGCTGTTCTCTTCCAGGAGCTGGGTTTGGCCATTGATGGGATTACACGGCGCCAGAGGGCCAGTTGGTGAGTGTGACCCCCCTCTCCATTGTACTGAGAATAAATTGTCCCAAAGGGGGCTTGAGGACACAACTTAGAGTGGCAGAGCTGGAACTGGATTAACTCAGTTCACTTTGCTATTCAGTTCACTTCAACTCTGTGTCTTTGGCTCATCTGACCTCTTGTCTTTAGCTTCCAAAGATGGACCAGGCATACAGGGGGTCTGGGGAGGCGGCCTAAGAACTGGGTTGTCCCCATAGGTAGGTCTAGGTTGAGGCTCCCAAGCAGGGCCTGAAGCCAAGGGAGGCAGAGATTAGTCTGGCTGGGTCCCAGCAGTTCAGCATCTGGGGCCTTTGGACCTATGGACCCAGGTCAGCTTCCTTCTCTGTGCCTGAGGCCAGGCATGCGGAACCAGTGGCAAGGACTCTTCTTAAAAGCATTAACTGGGTCCAAGGTCCTGGAGACCTCAGGCACAGCACAGCTAGGCTTGACCCCCAGAGCAGAGTCAGAGAAGCCCCCTGTCCTGCCCCACCCCAATGCTGTACCCGCTGGGTCCAGACTCAGGAAAAGGGACTGGTGGGCCATCTGTCACCGGAGCACATTAAACACTCACCTCATGATCTAGCAAACTGTGACTTGAAACAAAACAATGTATGAGGAAACCAGATCCTCAAATAACAGCGTTTTGTGCAATGTTGGTCAGCATTTCTTTGTTTCTCACCAACATGGTCATGAAAGGGCACTGGTGGAAATGGTGGCATTATTCAAGGACCTGCTAGACCAGAAACTCGGAGTGGAGACTCACAAAGTCCCAGCAGTGCTGTCTCATCGCCCCTTGCTTGTTTGCTTTTTTTAATGTTTGTTTTTGGGCTATACCTGGCAGCACTCAGGGGTTCCTCCTGACTCTATGCTCAGGAATTACTCCTGGTAGGCTGGAGGGGCCATATGGGATGTTGGGGATCAAACCTGGGTCGGCTGTAAGCAAGGCAAACGCCCTACCTGCTGTACTATCACTCCAGCCCATCATGTTGTCTCTCTTTTCTTTTAAATTTTTATTAGTGAAACACCATGAGGTACAGTTGTAGACTTACAAATTTTTGTGCTTGGGTTTCAGTTATACAATGATCAAGTACCCATCCCTTCACCAGTGCCCATTTTCCACCACCGCGGATCCCAGTATCACTCCCACCCCCATCCCCCCATTCCACCCTGCCTTTGTGGCAGGGAATTCATCTTGTCTCTTAATGCCTGTAAAAAAACAGTGCAAGGGCTTGCCGGGACCCCCTGCTTCCTACCCTATCAAGTCACCAGTGCCTTAAATTCTTCCAAACCTTCCCCCATTTATTTTTGGCTTTTCGGGTCACACACAGCAATGCTCAGGGGTTACTCCTGGCTTTGCACTCAGGAATTACTCCTGGCGGTGCTTGGGGGACCATGTAGGATCCTGGAAATTGAACCCAGATCGGCCGTGTGCAAGGCAAATGCCCTACCCACTGTGCTATCACTCCAGTCCCTAACCCCCCCCCTTTTTTTTTTATTGATTGTAACAAAAAAAGAAGTAATATCAAAAAAAAAAAGAAGTAATATCCACTCTCTCCCACCCTAAAAGAGAGCACTCTCCCCCCTTGAGGCCAGAGAGCACTCAACAGATTGAGCAGAAGCCTGAATTTGGACCCCACCACCCCACTGTATTCCTCCCTGCCCCCAGAACCAGCAGAACCCGGACTCATGGCTCCCTAAGAATTGCTAAGTGTGGCCCCAAAACAACAAAATCTGCCCCCTTTCATGGAGTGAAAGTGAGGAGAGGGGTCTTTTTTGGTGGTTAGGTAGCACTGGAACTTTGGTGAAGTGGTGACAGTAACCCACAGTGAGTAGTGTGAAGTTAAACCCTTGAAATCCCTTAATACTGTAAGTCAACAATATTCCTATAAAAATTAAAATTCAGGGGCCAGAGTGATAGTATAGTGGGTAAGGCATTTGTCTTGCATGCGACTGACCTGGGTTTGATCCCCAGCTTCCCATACGGTCTCTTGCGTACTGTCACAAGTAATTCCTGAGTGCAGAACCAGAAGCAACCCTTGAGCACATCTGTGTGTGACCCAAAAGACAATAATAATAATAATAATGATAATGATAATTCAGAAAGCAAACTGCCTCCTTGGCCCAATCTCCTACCAGCAACAGCTATCCCGTCCTCTTCATCGAGTTCCTGGCTAGAACCTTCTACCCTCCCCCTGCTCCCCCATCTCTCCCGGCTCCTCAGCCCACAGTAATCCACAAACACAACAAATATTGATTTAGCATCCACCATGTGCAAGAGTCTAGGTGCAAAGTAAGACTCGGCCGTTATTTCAAAACAAGATGGGCTCAGAGGGCAGGAGCTGAGTGTAGCAAGGATCAGCCGGAAAGGGGAGAGGAGCTCCGGGGGTTCTCGGGGCAGTGGGAGTGTGCTGGGGGTAGGGGCTGTCTGCACACAGGGTCCACTGTGAGTGGTGAGGAACATTTTTCCCATTTTTCAGTGGGGGAGCTCCCAAGAAGGGCTCGGGAGACGGCTGAATGGAGCAGGTCAGTGCTAGGGCGATGCAACGTGTCAAGGCTTGCTGGGTGCAGGGGCGGCCACAGTCACGCTCAGAGGTACGAGGGGAGCAGGGCACAGTGCTAGGGATAGAGGGCAAAGCTTGTGCAAGAAATGCATGTGCGCCGGCCCCCTCAGCTGCCTCCCTGGGCCCAAGGAACCTTTGTATGCACTGCTACCACTGCAGAAAAATGAAACGAGGGACTTCTTTATTTATATTTAAAATGAAAAGCTATTTATTAATACCTATGGGGAAAACAAAAACAGCACAGAACCATTTCGGTGATCCATTTGACCGGTAAGAAAACATTTTAATAAAAAATGGGTCATATTGGGTTTCTTCTTCTCAGATGTTCTCATCTGGGCACTTCTGCCATGCTTGGCAGCAAGACCAGCCACGTGGGGGTCTCCTCTGGCACAGAGGATGAAGGGAAGAGCAGAAGGGAGCAGAGAGTGGAGGAGCAGAGAGCCTGAGAGGCGGCAGGGTTGGAAAGGAGGTTACAGATAGAGGAGGTGATGGTGGAAGGGACAGGGCAGAGTAGAATCTGCCAGGGGTTGACTTCCTGAGTCAGGCCCTCAACAAGCATCTTCCTGGCAGCCAGAGAGGGTGGTAAGACCTTCTTAAGTCTTAAGAAGGTACGAAGTAAGACCTTCTCTTACTCTCTCACTGAGTAAGAGAAGGTCACAGTCATCTGATGACTCGTGTGGGGGTGGGGGGTGGAGGCTGCCCTACCTGCTTGGCCCCTGAGCACTGGCCACCAATGTCCCTGAGGCTTGCGACTCCCTTAGAGTATCTACTATTCAACTGTCAGACCTTAGAGGGTCAGGAGATGGAGGTTCAGAGGGAGAGGTTGTCCCGGGTGATCCCTGACCCCATCCCTGCCATCCCGGGTTGAATATAATTGTCCTCAATGAAGCCATCGTCGTCATCTTCGCCCAGATGCAAACGGAGCCCTTTCCCTGTCCTGGGCAGCGGGTGGTGCTGGTAGCTGGCTCGGTATTTGCGGCACAGGTGGCATTTGGCAGCGAGTGCAATGAGGAGAGAGAGGACCACGGCTCCCAGCACAACTCCTACAAACACAGGCCATGCCCGGGTCCCAGTGCCTGCTTCCGGGGACATAGGCGAGGCCATGGGGAACTGTGAGGGCCCCACAGTGGCTGGAGAGAGAGAGAGAGAGAGAGAGAGAGAGAGAGAGAGAGAGAGAGAGAGAGAGAGAGTGAATTATGGATGGGATGAATGGGTTCCAGGGGGTCAGGAGAGGGAGTGGAATCCTTCCCCCATCCCAGAAGGTAATGGGGCCTCCCCCCTCTCCTGCTGATACTCACTGTCATTAGCTGTGATCGTGGAGGGGCTGGAAGACATTGGTGAACCTTAGCCTCAGCCAGAAGAACTGTGGCTCCAAGAAGACCCTCAGATGCCAGGCAACCAGTCCTGGGCGTGGAACCCTGGAACACACAGGGCCAGCCCGTGAGTGCCAGGGCTAGAACCCCAGCACACGACCCAGGCCATGCTCACTGCCACACTAGGACACAGCCCACTCTGGAGACGAGACCAGCAACTAGAGCCCTCTGTCATTGGGCAGGAAATGAGCTGAGTGCATGGGAATCGGCTTTGGGAGCTGCTGAAAAATAAACCAAAGCTGAAACTCACTGAGCACAAGTTGGGTCAGGCGCCAGGAAATGTGCTCCCAGAAGTTGGAAATGTGAGAAACATCTAGCATCTGGCGAGGGTGCGAGAGATGAGGAATCGGAGGCCCAGAAAGCTGAACATCCTAGCACTGGAAGCCAGACCACAGAGCCGCGTTTCGGGGCTGGTCTGCTCCACTGCTGGGGGACAGCGGTTGTCCAGAGAAGACAAAAATGGCTCCGCACTAATAAGCCACATGGGGCCATACACAGAGGCCACAGTTGGCCATATTTTACCAGTCCCTCAACGACCAGGGTTGGAGTGGGGGCAGACAGACACAGCCAGGGCAGCCTTATCCTCCTCTGCTCCTGAACCCAGAGCCCCCTGCAAACCCACCCTGACCCTCAGCCCGGCAGGCACCACCCTGTGCCTCACCTCCGCCCTCAGACGGAAGCTTAGGCAGGGAGAAGTCAAACCTGGGGCACCTGAGTCAGGAAATCATCGAGGACAATCACTACCGTTGCGGAACACCTAGAGGAGGAGCACCAGAATGAAAGGAGGCTCTGAGGCAAGACGTCTAGGCTGGGGAGTGCCTGGAGGCGGCACACCTGGATGGAGGAATGTTTGGGGAGCAACACCCGGATATGAGGGGCATCTCGAGGAAGAGCCCCCAGCTTAGGGAAATACCTGATGGAGAGGCCTCAGGCAGAACAGCTCAACAGAGGAGGAGCTGGGGAGGAACGACGTCTAGGCTAGGAGAGAAGCAGCCAGTTGAGGGGGCGCGTCATGGTCTTCTCCCTTAAAGACACCCGCCCGCCTCACTCCCAGCCTAGAGCTTCTTTCTCTGTGGAGGCCTGACAAAGCCGTTCCGTCGCCCTGAGCCCACTGCCACTGCCCAGGCCAAACCCCCTTCATCCTGTACCGCAGCTCTTGTCAGGGTTTCCTGACTGGCCTTGCGACCTGAAGAGCCATCTCCAGAGTGATGCGCCCATAACCCAAATCTGACCATTTAAAACCAAATCTGAACCCACATCTGGCTCCCACTTACTATCCTTTCGGAACATCCCACGAATTCTGAAAACCCAACCACATGGCTCTCAGGTCAAACACTCCTCCATAGTTCCCTCCCCGGTGACAGACAGACAGACACACACACAGACAAACAAGAAACAAACCACACACACACACACACACACCCCACTTCACCCACCTCCACACACACACACACACACACACACACACACACACCCCACTTCACCCACCTCCACACACACACACACACACACACACCCTCATCCCTCAAGGCCAAATCATGTCACACCTGTCTGAGAGGTGGTCCCAAGCACCCCCCCCCCCAACCCCACTTCACTGCCCGGTCAACTACCAGTCAGAACAGGCCATTTGCTAGATGGGCAGCTTCCTGGGGACAGGACAGGACTGAGTAACTGGCACTGGTGGCGAGCTCTAAGCATGCATGCGGTGAGAGCGGCCAGCGGCCAGCTCCAGAGGGAACAGTGGGGGAGGGGGCGTTGGCAGAGAGGTAAATCATTCATCCCTTAGCAAACATTCTCTGGGGCCTGCCCTGGGCCCCAGGCCCCAGGCCCTGGGCCCTCATGAACAATACTAAGATTTGGTCGAATGTAGGCAAACCGTGTTTCTGCGATTTGAGTCCTAGTCCGTTCTTCCTGCCCTGTCCCTGTGAATGCCTCCCAAGGACACACACACACACACACACACACACACACACACACACACACACACACACACACGGGCTGTCACCCCAGCTCCCGACTCACATTTCCTCTGCTGACAAGCACACACCCGCCCAGGAACACCCGGTCTGATTTCCAGCCCCTTTCCCATTCCCAGGAGCCCTAGGGGATCTGGGTGGCCCCCTCCCACGCCCCCCCAATGGTTTCCCTTTTTGCTCCGCACCTGTTGGAACTGAGCAGTCTCTGGAGGCGCTTCCGGAAGTCGCAGGCAGGACCTGGAGAAGGGGCGGGGCCGGCCCGGGCAGCCGTCAGCTCACCTGGGGACGCTGCAGGCGGGGCCTTGCCGCAGGTGCGGGAGGAGGGCGCAGCGCCCCCTGCAGGGAGCGTTGATTCGACGTCTTCCCCCACTGGCACTGGAACCTTCAGGCCCCCACCACCCCGGAGTGGGCGGGTGGAGGGTGGGGGGGGGGCGCCCTTGGGATCCACGAGAGGGGTCCGGGGATCACCGGAAGGCGCACACACTTCAGCAAGCAGCTGCTCAGACCCGGGGCCCGATAAACAAATGACCTGCCCGAGACTGGTACAAAGTCCAGAGTTGGAGCGTGAGCTCTGAAGGCCCATGGGGGCAGTGAGCCGGAACCGAAGGGCGGCGGGAGGGTGCTCTTTCCAACCTGGGCTGAGGGACACCCAAAAGCACAGCGGCTCGGGCACTCGCCCTGCATGCTCAGGGTCGACCTGGGTACTATCCCTGTCGTCCCATATTGTCCCCAAGCCCCGCCAGGAGTAATTCCTGAACACAGAGCCAGGAGTAACTGAGCACTGCCGGGTGTGCTCCCCACTCACCCCCCAGAAAAAGAACGTGTGTGTGCGTGTGTGTGTGTGTGTGTGTGTGTGTGTGTGTGTGTGTGTGATGTAGGGGCAATATGAAGCTATCTCCTGGCCTAGAACCTTCTGGTCCTTGTGGTTTAGTTTGCTTTCCAGCCACACCCTGTGTGTGTGTGTGATGCTCACGGCTTCCTCCTGGCTCTGCACTCAGGAATTGCTCCTGCCGGTGCTGGGGTGGGGGTGGGGGGGTACCTATGGGATGTCGGGGATTGAACCCAGGTCGGTTGACTGTGTGGAAGGCAAACGCCCTACCCGCTGTACTATCACTTGGGCCCGGACCTCTTTGTCCTGTAAAAACCAGTTCAGGGGGGCCCGAGAGATGTTGCAGTGGGGAGGACACCTGCCTTGCACCAGGCCAACTGGGGTTAGATCTCCGGCACCCCATCTGGTTCCTTGAGCCCTGCCAAGAGTGATCCCTCAGCACAGAGCCAGGAGGAAGCTCTGAGCACCCGCGGGTGTGGCCTAGAACCGCATCAGCAGCATCTGCGACATCACCTAAGCAGTTCATTAGTCACCTCCTCAGCCCTTCGACCCAAAGCCCCGCCCCGCCCATTAGCCCCGCCCCCGAGGAAAGCCACGCCCCCCGCAGCCTTTTTCACAGCCTTTCCCCCTGAACTGCTATATACTGGAGTCCTCAGACGAGTCCCCTAGACCAGCGGCAGGTTCCAGCAACATCTGGACCCAGGGCAATCTGGCACAGGCTCAGCAAACATCCCTGGAGGAGAGGGTGCTTGAGCTAGGCCCGGCCCACTGGGGAATTCGCAGGCCGGACAGCAGGAGCTCAGGCTGCCCCAGCGGTGAGAGTGGGACTCGGTGGAGGAACGCAGCGGCCAGTTCCCGAGGGGCCGTGGCTGTCTACAAAGCACCCGGACTCCAGCTCTGCGAGTGGCCCCTCCCTCACGCTCTCACCTGCACCTGCGCGCTCGACTCCAGCTGCCCCGTTCTCCGTTCCTAGAGCCCACCACGCTCCTGCCTCCCAGGCTTTGCAAGTGCCGCTCCCGGGGTCCCTGCTTTTACCAGTCTTCACCGCCAGCCCCTGCCCCCCATGTCCATCGCCCACCTGGCAGAGTAATCCTGCCAGTCCTACTCATCAATCATTCGGGGCCCAATGAGGGGCTCTTTATCTGCACCGGCCTTCCCTGACTCATCCTAGTCTGGGGTCCTTCTTTGCCACCTCTGTGCCCTGCAGAGGCCTTGACTCTCGGCCCCCATCTCCCTGACCACCCAGAATTGTGATGTTTCTCTTTTTTTTTTTTTTTTTTTTTTGCTTTTTGGGTCACATCCGGCGGTGCACAGGGGTTACTCCTGGCTCTGCACTCAGGAGTTACTCCTGGCGGTGCTCAGGGGACCATATGGGATGCTGGGAATCGAACCCGGGTCGGCCGCGTGCAAGGCAAACACCCTACCCGCTGTGCTATCTCTCCAGCCCCTGTTTCTGTCTCTTTAACTCTCCCTATCAGCGTATAACTCTGGGGTTCAATGTCTCTTGTCTGCATCCCCGTAATATCTAAACTGACAACAAAAGATGCTTCGGAAATAAATGAGTGAGTGGACAGGGACTGCTCTCCTTGACAGAGTAGTGAGGAGCCCAGGAAGATGGAGGGTTCTACCATCCAGAAGACACCCCTTGAATACTCACCGCATCTCACGCACCGTGCCAGGCTCCCGTCGACTGAGGCATCCCTCAAACATAAATGAATTCAAGTAACAGGAAGCTCACTGTGTTCCATGCACACCTTGGGGGCCCGCAGAGGATGGAAATGAAGCTGTCCATAAGACTTGTTCAGGGCTGGAGCGATAGCACAGCGGGTAGGGCATTTGCTTTGCACGCGGCCAACCCTGGTTCGATTCCCAGCGTCCCATATGGTCCCCCAAGCACCACCAGGAGTCATTCCTGAGTGCATGAGCCAGGAGTAACCGCTGAGCATCGCTGGGTATGACCCAAAAAGCAAAAAAATAAAAACAAAACAAAACATAAGACTCGTTCAGATTAAGGTAAGTATGGGCCGGTGGGAGTCAAAAAGCATTGGTGACACGGAAAAGATGTGACTACTTTCCACGAAGGACTCAGACAACGAGGAGACATGTGAAATCTGCATAAGAGTGAGACAGTGGCAGAGCCAGAATCTGGCAGAAGAGCCATCCAGAAAGGCGGGAAAGCCAGGACAATGACCAGAAGCAAGAGCACAGCTGGCTTACTGAGGCACCATCGGAGAGAGGCCTGCTGGAGGGAGAGGGGCCCCCTGCACATCCTCCCCTCAAGCTACGGGGGCCTGGAGGGACAAGCTCGAAGAGCAGCTCCTCCTGTCCTTGCCTAGTGGGATGGGAAGATGGGAGGCACGGCCACTAGGGATTGGAGCACAGAGGGGCTGCCCCCCTCCCCACCCCCCCTGCACTCACAGGGTCATTTTGAATGGAGAAAAGAGCCAAGGAAAAACTGGGGCACGCTTGGAGCTGAGTCTGCTTCTAGAAGGGAGCAGGGAGCCGGCGGGGAGAGGTAGGAGTGCACTCAGTGTTCCTCTGCTTTGAAGAGGACACCCACACCCCGTGATTTTTTTGCTTGGATATGGATTTTGAGGAAGAGAAAGAAACCAATAATGATTCCACAGTTTTGACCTGAGCAAACAAACGAGGATGGGAATTGGGGAGACTCGGGAGGGGACAGGTTGCCTAGGAGATGCTGGGAGCTTGCAGGTAAAGCAGCAGCGGCATACACCAGCCTGCATGCAGAGCTCAGGACCGGAAATGGGAGTTTGGGGAACAGAAAAACAGTCTTTGTTTTCTTTGCTTTGGATTTTTAGTTGTAGGGCCACACTCAGAGGTGCTCCAGGGGCTCCCCAGTGCGGTGCGCAGAGACTCAGTGCTGGAGATTGAATCCAGTCCTCCCACAGGCAAAGCATGCGCTCAGTCCTTTGCACGAGCTCTCTGGCCCTCTGGTTGATTGGTCTGTTTCTTGCTTTATCACAGATGTCGATTTATTAGGAAAGTGAGGTTTGTGGGAAACCATAGGACTCACATGACTAACCTCATCAATAATGCGAACACATCTGTGATCGGAATTAACCAAAAATTTATATCCATGTAGAATTTATATCCATGTGGAATTTATAATACAATGTTTTCTATCCTTTAATTTCCAAAGCATGCTTCTTTATATTTGACTAGTATGCTAATGCATATTTTTTCTACTTTCAGTCATGGTATCTATGTTATTCTGATTATGAAAACCAGACGCAGTATAGTGAACCTTCTTTGCCAGAAATTACAAGACTACGTGTCCTATAAACAGTCTTCCTATCCTCAATTGTGAAGGCATCACTGTCTGGTCATCCAAGCCAAATCTCATCCTTTTTCCTCCCTCCACCTTTAACCATCAGGGGCTAAGCTGACAGCTTCTGATGTCATCTCTTTACATTAGAACCCCCCTCAGCCTTTAGACATCAATGAGATACCATCTTACACCAATGAGAATGGCACGTATCAAAAATAGTAGGAACAATCTGTGTTGGCGGGGGTGTGGTGAAGAAGGAATTCTTATCCCCTGCTGATGGGTATGTTTTCTGGTTCGACCCCTATGGAAAACAGTATGGAGAGTCCTCAGTAAACTTAGAACTACCATATGACCCAGCAATTCTATTTTTGGGTATCCACCCCCAGGACCTAACAACACTCATTCAAAAAGACATATGCACACCGTTATTCATTGTGGCACTCAGTACGATAGCTAAGATATGGAATCAACTTAGGTGTGCAAGGACAGATGAATGGATTATGAAGATGTAGCAATATACACACACACAGTGGAATACTGTGCAGCTGCAAGGAAAAACGGACTCATGCAATTTGTTGCAACCTGGTTGGAACTGGAAGATAGCATGTTGAGTGAAGTAAGTCAGAAGAACAACCACAAACACGGGATAATCTCACTTATCTGTAGATATAGAATACTGGATAGGGAAATTTATTGTAGTAAAGGGGTATGCCTAGATCACCCATGAGCCCAGAGTTTAGAGAGGAGAAGGACAAAGAAGGAAAGAAATCAAGAGGGGAAAGGGAGAAGAAGAGAAAGGGAAGTAATGGAGGAACGGGGGTGTGGGGCTTCATTTACACTGGTGATGGGGGAGAGTGGTAGAGCCACATAACCGAAACATAAACTCAACAACACCGAAAACCTGAGATCTAAGCTGCAACTACCAGAATTTTGTAAACTGACTGTCAAGGTGACAAGCAGGGGTAGGGGCAGGGTAGCTGCAGGATGGATGTTGGGGGAAAGGAATATGGGAACACTGGTGGAGGGACGTTGACACTGGTGATGGGATTGGTGTTGAATTATTATATGCCTAAAACTCAACGATCAGTAACTTTGTAAAGGATGGTTATTTAATTACATTTAAAATTATGAATGAGGGTCTGGAGCGATAGCACAGCGGGTAAGGCGTTTGCCTTGCACGCAGCCAACATGGTCGACCCAGGTTCAATTCTCAGCATCCCATATGGTCCCCTGAGCACCGCCAGGAGTAATTCCTGAATGCATGAGCCAGGAGTAACCCCTGAGCATCGCCGGGTGTGACCCAAAAAGCAAATAAAGAAATAAGTAAATAAAATTATGAATGAAAGAGAGAATGAAAGAAAAAGAG